TATATAAGCCATTCAAACTTAGGGACAAAAATACCAATGCCAAATCATAAAAACAGTATTTACTATCATTGACTTGATTGTCTACTTTGAAAAATATTGTGCTTTATATTTGGGCTGCCACATGAACTAAAACATGCAGTGTTTCAAGAAAAAAAGGTAACCAAGCCTTTCAGCTGTTACACTGCATAGACCTTGCTTCAGATCAGAGAAAACTATTTCCATGACAAACTAAGTGCCACACCTCCTCATCCCCTTCAGCTTCACCTCATGGTGACTATTTCACTCCCCCTCCACTACATGGTGACTATTTTCTGAGCCTTAAGAAATCATTTTATGGAATAATGTACCCAGAATATAAAAGGAGTTCGAGAAAATCAACAAGAACAAAAACAATCCAGTTAAGAAGTGGGAAAAATGATATGAGTAGATATTAAATTGGTAGAGAGAGAGAAAGAGAGAGAGAGAGGTACAAATGTATAAATGACCAAAAAGAATCATGAAAAAATGCTCAGGATCACTAGCCATCTCAGTGCAGTTATCATGGCTATCACCCCACAGTGAGAAACAAACAAAATCAAACAAATGGTGGTGAGGTGCTGAAAACAGGGTACCCTAAAGCCATGCTCATGAGAACGAAAATAAGTATCTAAAATGGTATGCAGATTCCACAAAGAACTACAAAGTAACCTCTCTTGTGACCCAGCTACCCCACTTCTGGGAATATATCCAAAGAAAATGAAGTCAGCATATGAAACAACTACTTGCACTCTCATATTTACATTGAAGCCCAATTTACAATAACGAAGATGTGAATTCAACCTAGATGTCTATCAACTGGTAGTTGGATAAAGAAAAGGTACATGCACATGAAGGAATATTACTCAGCAATGAAAAGAATGAAATCTTAACATTCGCAACAAAATGGATGGAACTGGGGATCATAATCTAAGTGAAATAAAGCAAATACAGAAAGACAAATACCCCATGTTTTCTCACATATGTAGAAGTTTATCACAAAACAGTTAATTTATCACTCTGTATGTATATATATGAATATGCATATATTTACATTTGTATATATACATATGTATATATACGCACACAGAGGGAGAGAGAATAAAAGTTCTTTCCCAATATATTGTTTTGATATATAGCTATAAACAAGTTTTTACTGAATTATGCCATCTAAAAATAATACATAATTCTTTCTTTTTTTTGACAGGCAGAGTTAGTCAGTGAGAGAGAGAGAGAGACAGAGAGAAAGGTCTTCCTTCCATTGGTTCATCCCCCAAATGGCTGCTACGGCTGGGGCATTGTGCCGATACGAAGCCAGGAGCCAGGTGCTTCCTCTTGGTCTCCCATGCGGGTGCAGGGCCCAAGGACTTGGGCCATCCTCCACTGCCTTCCTGGGCCACAGCAGAGAGCTGGACTGGAAGAGGGGCAACCAGGATAGAACCCTGCACCCCAGTTGGGACTAGAACCTGGGGTACTGGTGCCGTAGCCGGAAGATTAGCAAAGTGAGCTGTGGTGCCGGCTAATGACACATAATTCTTTCCTCACTTTATGACAGAGTCATAAACCCTATGTGCTATTAATATTATTTTTAGGAAAAAATAGTTATGTGTATGTGCACAGTCTCTATATATGAAGCGATTATGGCAAAATAGTAAAATCTTACAAATGCTAATATTAAAAATTACAAAGAAAAAACACTTTTAAATTATAAAGAACTGATTCTTAACTTGGGGGGGGGGGTGGATTTCTACAACCTCCCCCATCCCAGAAATATTTGGCAATGTCTGGATACATTTTTGACACAAGTGGAGTGAAACTCCTACCTATACTTACGATGGGCTCAGAAAGTAGATAAATATTACACAATGCACGGGACCATTCCCACAACAAATAATTATCCACCCTCAATGCCAGTACAGCTGTTGAGATACTCTGCTCCAAAGGAAGGTTAATAGTAGAGTTGAGGGGTATTGGTCATTAGAAAAGACTCTATAGGAAATTGAATTGTGTTGAGGTCAGATTACAGGGCTCCCCACTCAAAGGGAAAATAGGAAAGTAAAAATGACTGGAAAGAAGAAATTCCATACAGGAGGCATGAGAACCAACGTATAGAAAAGAGTTGTATATAGAAGAGAAAATGGAGAAATAATGAGATGTATAATAGCTAAGAAGTTACCTGAACTGAAAGCTCAATTGTGCCTATAGGTTAAAATGTCATTTTCCTGTTTGGAATAAGAAATGCTTACAAATCTAGATGTGAAAAAGGATAGCTTTCAACTGAAAACAAAAACAAAATGAAAAACCAAAACAACATCAAAGTGTTTTACTATTTCTCTTGTCCAAGGTAAAATGCTAAAACAATCGCCATATGGAGAAACAAACAAAAATTCTAGAGAATTTAATGATATTCATTCTTCCAATCCATGAACAAGAAATCTTTCCAATTTTTCGGTGTTCTTGATGCTTTTTTTTTTTTATCAGTGTTTTAATAATTTTCATTGTAGAGGTTTTTCACTTGTTCAATTTATTCCTAAATATTTAATGCTTTATGAATGGGATTTTTCTTATTTTTAAAGATTCATTTTATTTATTCGAAAGGCAGGCAAGAGAGCAAGAATGGGAATGAGAGCAAGAGAAATGTCGGTATGCTGGTTCACTAACACTGCAACAGCTAGGTCTGGGCCAGGCTGAAGCCAAGAGCCAGGGAATCCATCCTGGTCTTCCAAGTCAGTGACAAGGGCCAATGTACTTGTGCTATTTTCCATTGCCTTCCCAGGTGCATTAGCAGGGAGCTGGATCAGGAGCAGAGCAGTTGGGACTCAGCTGGCATTCTGATATGGCATCCTGGCATCACAAGCAGCAGCTTAATCTGCTGTGTTACAATGTTGGCATTGAATAGGATCCTTTCTTAATTTTCCTTTCAGCAAGATCATTATTGATATATAAAAATTCTAATATTCATGGATGTTAATTTTGTTTCCTGTGACTGCTGAATTGGTTTATCAGTTCTAACAGCTTTTCGGTGGAGATCTTAGGATTTTCCATGTACAGATTCATGTCATCTGTACACACAGATATTTTGATTTCCTCCTTTCTAATTTTCATGTCATTTATTTCTTTCTCTTCCCTAATTACCCTTGATAATATTTTCACACTATATTGAATAAAAATGGTGAAAGTGAATCTAGTAACCTTGTTATTAAATCAGCACCCATCAATGGGGAATCAATTAATAATCCAGGTTATGCCATTAAGAAAATAGGTATACAGAGTACCATAAACTTATTATTTTTGTTATATAATTCATTAATATATATTCCACATTTAAGAAAACTTTACAAAAATAAAAATACCTTCAAAATTACTAAACATATTTATAAAGCAAATGGCAAAGACATTACCACAATGTGTATTTTCACCTTGTAAAGAATTATTTAAAAATAAATTTGGAAAATGTCTCAATATAGAAGTGGCTACTCAAAATGAACATTTTATAAAGGCTAAAAAATATGTTGAAAAGATCAGTCTCACAAGTGATCAGTGATGCAAATTAAAGCAATATTGCTTTTTCCCTTATCACATTGAAATGATTTTTTAAAGTATGTTTCAATATTAACATGAATAAAATTCATGAATGGTTTCCCAAATACCTAATGGGGGTATTAATTTGGATAACCCTACTGTAAGTTAATTTTTTTTTAATTTACTAAAACCTTACTATAGATTTACCTTTTGCTACAAGAATTTCACTTTCAATATTGTATCTACCTTTTTAAAAGAAGATGTGGGGGCAAATATTTGTGTGAAATGATGATTATTCTATCAAAACATATATAATGATAACAATTCAAGTTTCTACCAATAGAGATTTGCAAAATACAGAATGTTTCTTCAAGGGACTGATATGTACTCACTGAAAGTCACATTATAGAAGGCTATCATTGTAATTGGTGAGGAAATGAGATTTGAAACTATTAAGCATTTTTATTTAGTACCTATGCATTCAGGAACATTCAGGAAAATGTAAAACAAAATGATAAACACTTACCTGAGTCTGTGTGTGCGTATGTGCAGAGATAAGAATAAGAAGATATAGATTATGGATAGATATCAGTACATGTAATGATATGTAATCAATTTTAAGTCTGCATTCATGTTTATTAAACTTTTCTGCTTTAAAACCTTTCTCTTTTTAATTAGTATCCCACTGTTTTATAGTCAGAGAAAGGAAAATGAGCATAAACAAAAACAAAATGTAAAAATGACCTTTGCACAGAGAGTAACTGCCTTTTCGCTGACAGCATTATATCCACCAAACATCCCAGCAAACATCTTCTGCAACACACTCTGGGGGAATTTAACAGGCATGTTGATGAGCATTTAATGACCAAATATTTATAAATTCTCATAACACCTCTGTAAAGTAGATAAGGAAGCACATCATTCCTTCAAAAGCAAAGCATAATCCGAAGTCCCGCCTGCACCAACCTTGTCAAGATTTTCAAATCTCTCCCTTGCCGCAAATGACAACAGTAGTGTTGTTCTTTTTCCCTAGTAATCATAATAAAATACCATAATAACCAAGAACAAGTTTGCCCAAGGGGAAATTGATGCACCTGCTTTTATGGTCCAAATTTGAATAGACCGATAGAAAGTCTCCACAGTCCATCCCCACCAATTCATTGATGTCGGATCTTACACCAAGCCCTATCATTCAATGTGTAAATAAATGTCAAATAATTGCCTAGCACCTAGGTGATGGTTATACAGCAGTGATAAATAGCAAAAAAAAAAAAAAAAAAAAAAAAACAAAGTTATTGACTGCAAGGGGCTCATAATCTAGTTTTTTGAAGGTTAGCACCTCCAAAAGGACCATGCGATGATATCTCTAAGTACTTAGTACCTTTCAAACTCCCAAATCAACTCAGATATAAATGAGCATAATATGAATACACACACATGCATTGCTGCAAATTAAAACTCACTCTTAAGCTGAGATGTGTTGCCCGGCTTCCTCTCCAGCTGTGGTCTGGGGCTGCTATATGAGTCTCCAGTCAGTGGGTCTCCTGGCCTGAAGTTTCCATAGATGAACTGTCCCATTTGGTAGCCTATGAAAATTAATTAAAATTCATTTCTCAGCCCCCAGGAGTTATACTCCAGGTGTTCAGTAGCCACATATTAGTGGCTTCTATATTGGACAGCATAGCCATCACTGTGAAAGCTCTTCTGGGCAACTCTGCTTAATAGTTTTACTGGGATTTTCATTTATTGTTTATTTTTAATAGACTTTTTTCCTAGCCTCCAACCCTATGTTTGCCGATCTTCATATCTAGTTCATATTTTCAGACCTAGATTCTTCTCCAAATTCCTGAGTGTGTTGCTTCTTTTTGTAAACTTGGATGAGTACTGCTGAATGATCAGGATTCTGAGACTCACAAAGTCTTCATTTTTACTATGTTTTCTCCAGAACAGAGGTCAAATGGATACTGACTTCTGAAGTGGGGCTGAGTTTGCCATGCACAGGACTTTTAGACTGTCTGACCCACACCTGATTTTAGACACCAAGTACTACTAGTAGTAGGCTCATCATCTTCCCACTGTCCCTCACCTCACTGTAGTCAGTCCTGTCCTGAACTTCTCATTTCTTCCAAACAAGGGATTTCCTCATCTTTGAGCCTGATCCTCATTAACAACTTTTCTGATTCCAATTGTTTCCCTTCCTTCTACACAAGGCATTTTCTTTATATGAGGTTTCCTCTGGCTCCTTTCAAAGCATTTCTTTCCTGGTGAGCCTGATCCTCATGTATGCAGCCTCCCCTTTCAGAGGTGTTACTTTCAATCAACAGAAAGTACTCCTGATCTCTGCAATTTACCATCTTGCTCAACCTACAGAGTCACAGTCTTTCACATGAGTTTGCATGGACCTGTGGTGCACTGGTGGGTGGCTTTTTTTTCGCTTTTTGCTTTCTTCAGGGTAACCCTCCTACTCCTCTTCTATTCCCAGTAACTTCTAACAGGCCTCACACCTAAATCCTGAATCTTTTCCCAATGACATAAGAACATCAGATTTCTTAAGCACAGAATCTATATGAGACCATGTGCTACAATAAGAGAAAAGACCAATAAAATGGAATATATAAGGAAATTGTTACCTAATTATGGCAAGACATTATTTGAAAAGGAAGGAAGCCTGCCTTTCTATAGTAAGCGATCATTTTTAAAATGCATGTATATTCTAGAGAAGAGATTGACAAGTCGCAAATTTACTTCTGTCACAAAGGGGGGTTTTCATAAATGGGAAAGGACTAGAAAATACAAACAATACAGCTAGCAATTACCAAAACAAGTGGCAAAGTTAATTATTTTCTGACATAGTTCTAGTATGCACATAATGATATTTTTGTCTTCTTTTAAAAAATATCTTATGGAAAAGATGGTGGAGGCTAGAAAAACTTTGTAGCACTTCTTTACTGAGTAGTTTGAACTGATCTAGTAAACTGGAAACATTCCATAAGTATCCCCCACACCAAAAAATCATCAATGCATTTGAATTTTAGATTGATTTGGGGGCCGGCGCCGCGGCTCACTAGGCTAATCCTCTGCCTTGCAGCGCCAGCACACGGGGTTCTAGTCCCGGTCGGGGCGCCGGATTCTGTCCTGGTTGCCCCTCTTCCAGGCCAGCTCTCTGCTGTGGCCCGGGAGTGCAGTGGAAGATGGCCCAAGTGCTTGGGCCCTGCACCCCATGGGAGACCAGGATAAGTACCTGACTCCTGCCTTCAGATCAGCGCGGTGCGCCGACCACAGCCCACCAGCCACGGCGGCCATTGGAGGGTGAACCAACGTCAAAGGAAGACCTTTCTCTGTGTCTCTCTCCCTCACTGTCCACTCTGCCTGTCAAAAAAAATAAATATAAAAATAAAAAAAGGAAAAAAAAGAATGATTTGGATGATTATTAAGTTTTATGGCTTTAGAATGGTCTAGCCTGACTACCTCTTCATTTATCTCTTCATTTGCCTCTGTTCTGAGTATTAGGAATCCTTACTGGGAGTTAAAACCTTCGTTTTCAGGGAAATAAACAAATGCATATTAAAGCAACTGGTACTGAAAAGTGCTAAGGAAAATAAAGCAGAGTAAACAGTGACAGTTGCTTCCACTGTGCTCAAGTGGGTAAGCCAATGACATATGAGCAGAGAGCAAGCAGCATGAGATGGCCAACCATATGGATGTTCTGGGAGGAGGGTCCCAGGCAGGGGCACCCTCCCAATGCAGAGGAGTGACATGTGCTGACTTCTGTTTTGTGAAACGGTTTCTCTGACTTTTGTGTGAGCAATGGACTTGTAAGGAATATCAAGACCAAAATAAAGACACCAGTAACACACAGGGCATCCTTAACTCCATGATTCAAAGCTACTGTTAAAGTCTCAAATGTCCATTGTTTATGAGTGCTCTTGGCCCCTACATAATGTCCAGTTTTCTTATCTATGTCCTATCCTCTATTCTCAGGAATGTACAACTTCTGTGTATCTGTGTTTTTAGTGTTAAGCCTAAAACCTCAACCAGAAATTTTGTGGGGGGGAACAAGAACTGCTCAACTTGATAGTGTGTAGCCCTCAATTAAGAAGTCAAAGCAGTGCTCACCGGAAGCTGCAGTGATTGTTCTTGCCTTGCTGTTGGTATTTTTATGCCAGAAGGGTAACTCCAGCCTGGCCTTCCTCTTATTGCCAAGAATAAAGCCCAATTTTTCCAAAGATCACAATATGGTCTTGTCAGTCAGCCAGTTTTGTGGCATTTGTGAGGAGCTGATACACACACACACATACATACGCATACACAAACACACAGACTCCTGAAGACATTTGCCCTTTCCAACTAAATAGCCTTGAGAAAGACCATAAAAATTATGTTTCCACCAACTTTCCTAATGAGTACAAGCATACATTTTCTTCCTGTAAATGACAAAAGGGTAAACACAGAAAAAAAACACATTAGTTACCATTAGCAACTGTATCAAATTTTGAAAATTTAAGTTATACTTGAAAAATTCTATATCTCTCTATATGATATTTTAATAATCATTTTCTCAGTATGAAGTCTCATAGCAGCTTGATGGGAAGATCTAAAAATAGACATATTCTTTGCATAAAAATCAGTTGCAATGGATTGGTTGTAAGCTGAGGAATCTTAAAACAGAGCTGGGAATAAGACACAAGTATGATTTGATTCTGCTTTTGCAAAGATGTTATTTTCTGCATTTTAATCCTTGAATGAATTGGTAATAATCCTGACTTAATTTAGTTCCTTTAATTTTTCTTTGATATATTGTTTTGACTTTAACCATTATAGTCTTTGACCTACAGATTACAAAAAAGATTTAGCTCTACACTTAACAGAGAGATTTAAGTCTAATGTTGACAAATCATCCATTGTATTTTATGGTATACTCTGTCATCTGTGAATACATATAAGGATGTTAGTAATATAAGGATTTTAGCACTTTCATACCTTGTACTTATCATGGCTGAGGTAGTATCATTAAGTTGAATATTGTGTCCTTATGTGTAAGCTTACTTGTACAAAAAACATTTTGCTTGACATTTCAAATATGGGGATGTGATAACTTATCATTCTCATGATATAATTAATATAGGTAATTTAATAACAATTTGGATCAAAATATGATTTGGTATGTAATATACAGACAAATATGGGCTGTCTTGATGACGCTCTAGTTCACATTGCTGTTATTAGGAGTATATAAAAAGTGGGAGGTTAATGATGTTTGAGAATAGCTTATTGGCCTACATGTTTTATAAATGACTTCATGATTTTAGACTAATCTAGTCATTTAGATGCATGTTGCCTTTAAACTTTGCCTTTGGAGTAGTGCTTGCCTTATTTATTTTTTTAAAAAAATTGAATATGTTGTTAATGAATCACAGTTGACATTACCTCTGCCACTTAAAATTGAGGTCAGATACCATTATTCCTTAAATGCACCTTTAGGAGACCGTTTATCTTTTAATGGGATTGTCAACAGCACTTTGTACTATGTAAGGCTATAGAAAATAGCTTTCAGGATTCTGATTTTTAAATTCACATAGCATGATTCATTCAGTAAAACAAAAACATGCTCTATCATAATCAAATTCTTTCTACTTACTTGATTTTTCCAGAACTTATAAAACCTCATCTTAAAAGAAGTGTTCACGAGGGCACCTGGACTAGAGGTGTTCAAGGAAATAAAAGAATCCCATTTCCATGGAGCACTTGACATACATTGAGGTAGTTGATTATACCGAACAGTAAATATATATTGGACATGGCACAGTGCATTGATTATTGCTTCCCCTGTTTATGTGTTATCAACAACTCATAATCAGTTAACCCTATAGTACAACTCCCAAAAGCAAAGTTACTTCAATTAAAGAAAAAAGATGTGAGAGGAGAGATAATTAAAATAAGGCACAAATCAGAGCCAAGCAAGTTGGCAGGATAGTGGATTCTGTCTGTTTGTCTTCTATGAAAAATTTTTCTGTGCTGATGAACCAATATGGAGCAGAACTCTGGTGTTTCCACACTCCATGCTGCTCCATTTGTGTCCTTCCAGTGTGAGGAGAGTGAATTGAGGGAGTTTGTTTCTGTGTGGGTTACACGACTGAGGTCATCCGTTCCCTCCTGGACAATGTGGGATGAAGAGACCATGTCCCAGAACAAAGTAGAAGTAGAAGTCTCTGAGACATCTGGTACTGAATTCTATTCCATCATTTCTTTTACACTGATATATGAAAATCCAATTCCCCAATAAATTACTTTCTTGCTGCAAACATTAGTTCTAGAACAGGAGAGAACATAAGTTATTAAGGGGAATAGTGATACTGAGTTTCCATTCTTGCTATAATCTTGAAAGCACTTGGGTCTATGTTTTTGAAGAGTAACTGAGAAAGTTGTATATTAAATATATTGTAGTGAGTCCCTATGTCTTGGAAATAAATTTATGCATTTTTGTAATATACAGTTGATGGATATGCCACTTTGTTTCAGTTTTCTAGGCAAGGCCATGGAATGTGTAAATGGCACATTCATCTGGACAAATGAAATACAAAATGAACTCAATATTGAACACATATTTTCACAAGATATTACTTATGTTTAGAATTATATTTTCATTAAAACCCCTTTAAGTTTAACTGGGATAATTTTACTTTTTTATGTTTCAAAGATGGAAAAACAAACTCCTAGAAAGTTAATGACTTTCTAAAGTCACTGTACTGTGTTACACTCCACCATTTCATGTGTTGGAAGCTTTCCCCAGTGTGGCAAGGTGGAGGTTGCTCAACCTATAAGAGGCAGAGCATAACGGAAGGTGATTGGGTAATTCAGAACACTTTGGAAAGTATTATTGTTGGTCTTGAAGACTGAGTTAATTTCAATGAGAGTGGGAGTTATAAAGCAGAAACAATGCTATCCCTAGGCCTGTGGCCTCCTCTCTTGCCATGTGATTGCTCCTTCACATACTCTTGCCATGAGGTCATCTACCATACTTGTGATCCACCCAAAGATGCATTCCCTAGAGCCAGATAAATATCAGCACCACAATCTTGAACTTTCAAGATGAGAGATAAGTAAACCTCTTGTCTTTATACATCATCTATCCTTAAGTATTCTGTGACAACAATAGAAAATGGACTCATACAAACACACAATTATTAAAAGACAGTAGACATCAGGATGCACTTTTCTCATTGCCATTAAATCCAACACTATTGTCTAGGAGACACTAGACCTTCATCTTAGCAGTTTGATTTTGCCATGTTGTTGTCTGAACCTGCTAAATTACTGTCTGCATTCTTTATACACATATTGGTGCTTAAGGAATGAAGAGTCTGTTCTTCAAGCTTTAATTAATTGAAAGTAGCCAAATTTTTAGCCTAGTTGTCCTTCACCAGAGATAGACAATATAGATAAGGAGGTTGATTCACATTTAAGGAATTGTCCAAATCCTGAACATCAAAATTATAGGCTATGGGCAGGACAGAGAGGATTAGATATTATAACTAGTCCCTTGTTTCATATAATTCCAGCCACTGAAGATATGTTTAATCTCAAGCACAGATAAGATGACCAGTCTAGGGGTTGTAGTACTTTTGCAAAGTGACCACAAGTAGAAAACTGAGATCGAAGACCAATGGGGAGAAGGCATATCAGAGAAAATAGAGGGCTCTGACAGAGACTGTTAAAAGACACTGTGTATGAGGACCTTGAACCAAAATGTGAGAGATACTCAAGGAACCATGGGGATTTGCACTGATCACATCTGGGTCTATCTGGACAGCAAAATAGTTGATAATAGGGGCTGATGTCAAGGCACAGCAAATTAAGCTGCCACCCATGATGACAGAGTGCTGGTTCAAGTCTTGGTTTCTTCACTTCTGATCCAGCTCCCTGCTAATTCATCTGGAGAAGCAGTAGAAAATGGCCCACGTACGTGTGCCTTTGCTACACAAGTGGGAGACCTGGATGAGATGTTGTTGACGTTGTTGGCTATTGTTTCTCCTATTTATCATAATTCTTTTTCACTTAGGGAGTGAAAAAGAGGAATGTTTTCCTTGCATATTGATGTCAACAACCTGCTGCTGTTGGCTGCATCTTCAACATTGTTTTGTCCCTTCCTAAAATGGGTTATCTACTTGTAAACTGCTAATTTGCTTGGGACATTGTCCTCATAAACTTTTCATAAATATCAAGGATTTTGCCATTCCTCCATGCCAGTTTCACCATAGGTATGATGTTTATTCTTGCTTCAATTTTGGAATAATGTGTGCTGCTCATTAAACTGATATTTTATCCTTCTTACTGCCTCAAACTAGATGCTGTTCAGATATGTTATAAGTTAGTGCAAGTTTATTTTGGTTTGAACATACTTGGAAATACATGCATACTTTTAATAGTATGAATTTCCCATGAATTTTTAAAAGACCACATATGTATTGCTTCTTCCAAATAGGTAAGCCAACATCTAACATTGAGTAAACATCAGACAAACAAAAACCTAAGGACAAATTGCCAAACAATGGAAATGTACTCTTCAAAACTAAGTCGAGAAAGGCAAAATATATAATAAAAATGACTGAAAAACTGTTCCAGATTAAAGAAGCAGGAAAAATAAAAGTTACATAATTCTGTTAAGATTGTGATCTGAAAAATAGTTGAAGGAAGATCATTGGAAAAACAGATGACATTGAAGTGTGTGCTGTGGTTTGGATAATGCTACTGCATTTATTTTAATTTCCTGATTTTGACAACTATGCTATGATTACTTAATAGTATGTTTTTCTTGATACATAAACACTATTTACAGGTGAATAAACATGGATTCATAAATTTAGTATAAAGTGAACATTTCTATCAGAAAAATAATATGCATATGTACTTCTATAATATAGTAGGGATATAGAGAATAATACATGAAATTAGTTAGATTTTAAGTGTTTGGTTAATCTGAACAAAAGTTAGATGTGAGTTCATTATACTGTTCTCACTTCTTTGTAAATTCGAAATACCAAAATTTTAAAAATTAGAAATTATATTTCTGACTAATTCTATTATTATAAGGCATAAAATTCTAACAAAGCTGAAGAATTAAAGCCCTGTGGAGAATAGATGCAAATAATATAGCAAATTTAGGAATGTGTAATCCTTGTTCAGTTGGGCTGGAAAAACAGGGAAGTTTGTGATAAGACAATTTGTAGAACACAACTTATAATGAGCTACCTTATTTATGTCTCAATAACTGGCACTATCAAGTCATATTTTCTTGAGTTGCAAAATAGGATCACAATAACTAACTTGCCAGAGTCTTTGAAGGTTTCAGAAAATAATGGATATTCAACAATTGGGATTGTGCCTGCTTCATACAAAATGTTCAATGTTATTACCCATTTAATTC